ATTCTTAAACAGGCTTTAATTCAGTGAAGCACGTCTTGCGCCCAGGTCCGTCTGCAGCGACTATTTAGTGATATGTAGAGTTAGGATGCCTTTAGTCTCGTTATGCGAAATGAAACAACTCATCGTCACGTCCAACATGGACGTAAGGATCATCCGCGATCTGTGGATGCCCCGCCTTCCTGAAAGCACTCAGGCTATCCCTGCAGTACTAGGTGACCTGCCACTCACAGCAATTGCAGATCTGGCAGACCGCGTTATCGAACGGCAACAGCCAGAGACTGAAACCAAAGAAACCTAAGCAGCTTTGTGCTGCCGCAAGCACACCGACACCCGCGACTAGCCAGCCGTCGGCAATAGACACATTATCATCGCAGATAGCGTCGCTACAGCACCAGACTGAGGAACTCACTTAAACCCGTAAACACCGCAATCACTAGATCATCGCTCCGTCGCACAACAGCTGATGCTTCAGATCACTGCTCTTACTAGTCGCGTTTCGGTAATAAAACTGGTAAGTGAAAACAGCCGTGTAGCTATTCCGCTACAGAAAATTCGCCATGCCGACCTGTAATGGTGACTAACGGTGTCGGCAAAGCCCCATGTCGTCTCATCTACATTGGGGATTATGATTCCGAGACCCAGTTTTTAGTTGATTCCGGGGCGGAAGTCAGCGCCATTCCCCTATTTCAGGTGATCCTATCGCTTCTTTGTCGACATGCCCAAGTTCCTCCAATGGCACGCCAACAGCCATCTACGGTCATCGGTCGCTTACCCTGAACCTTGGTCTTCGGCACACGTTCCGCTGGGTATTCACCGTCGCTGCCATCCCCTTTGTTATCATCGGCATTGACTTTCTCTGGCATTTCGACCTCTTGGTCGATGTGAAACGCCGGATGTTAGTCCACGCTGTAACGAAACTCAGTGTACGTAGCATCACCGCCGATATCGCACCTATAACACGGGTCTATGTATTTCCATAGACTTCGCCAGACTACGCCAACCGTTTTTCTGAGTATTCCATGCTCTTTTAGCCCATGAACACTGCTTTACCTGTGGCATCTCAAGTCACACATAACATACGGACGAATGGCCCTCCGTCTCACACCGCCCGCCCTGACTATCGCTCGAGAAACTTAAGTAGCTAGGGCGGAGTTTGCACACATGTTTGAAGTTGAAATAATCCGCCCTTCCGACAGCCCTTGGTCATCCCTCCTGTAGCTGGTCCCCGAGAAATCTGGTGCCTGGCGCACTTGCGATTATTACCGCGCACTCAATCATGTTACCGTCCTAGAGGCTATCCCAACTTACACGCAAGGCCTTACCGCATGCCTTACAGCAAGACCGGTCTGGTTTGCGCCTATCACCAGATACCTGTAGAAGAAAATGAGATTCCCAAAACAGCCGGTTTCACTCCTTTTGGCTTGTTTGAATTTTTAAGAATGCCAACTGGACTGTGCAATGGCGTACAAACCTTCCAACGCTTCATCTATTATGTCACACGTGGCCTGGACTTCGCTTATTCCTACCGCCATGATATTTTAGTCGCCAGTTCATCGGAACAAGAACATATCGTGCATCTTCGAACTCTCATCCAGCGCTTGACCCAACACAGTGTCATAGTAAACCCGACAAAGTGCGAACACGGCAAATCAACGGTAGAAATTCCAGGCCACCTCATTTCATCGTCTGATATCGAAGTCCTTCCTAACAAGATCCAGGCAACCGAGGACATCCCAGCTCCGACATCGTTCAAACATTTCAGTCGATTTTATGGTTTAATCAACTACTATCGACGCTTTATTCCGCGCCGTGTTCAACTCATACAGCTTTTGACTGACCTACTCAGAGGAAATGAATGTAAGCTCGCTTTCCCTGACATAGCACAGACAGCCTTCACCAAGCTCACGGATGCTATCTCCAACATAACCCTCCTCGCTCATTCCGAATCGACTGCAGCCATTTCTTTTACGACTGCAGGTTTAGATGTAGCGGTAGGAGCTGTCCTCCAACAACACGTTGGTGGGCAATGGCAACCCCTTGGATTCTTCTCCAAGCGCCTGCAGCCAGCGGAATCCCGCTACAGGAAGTTTGGAACAGAACTGCTTGCGAGTAATCATCTGTCATTCCCGGCATATACTCAAAGGCCGCGCTTTCACTGTCTTCACTGACACAATCCCCACATCTTCGCCTTCCACGCTGCTTACGACAAATATTCACCACGGTAAACCAGACACCTAGACTATGTCACGCAGTTCACTGCTGATTTACGTCGTCTCAGGTGTCGACAATCCCGTCGCCGACCTGCTCTCCCGCGTTAACCTCACTCCGCAGTCTTTGCTTACCGTCGACCTTGCCGCTATGGCATTGGCTCAGGCTCAAGATGAAGGCATACAACGCCCCCTGCAGTCCACTTTGCTGCATGTGCAAACTGTTCCTCACCAAACCATGAAAGGAACAATTCTCTATGACACTTCTATAGGTTGTCCTAGACCCTTCGTGCTCGTCCATTCAGACGCACAGTCTTTGACGCACCGCACGTACTATCACATCGCATTCTCCGTGCATCTTGGAAACTGGTCACCGAGCGTTTGGTTTGGCCACGCATAAACAAACATGTTCGTACCTGGGCTCGCGCTTGCCTTCAAAGCCAGCGTTCCAAAATACATCTTCACATCCGCAGTTCTTTCGGTCCAGTCCCTACCCCGGAGTCTCGGTTCGCGCATGTACACGTAGACCTGGTAGGTCCATTACCTCCTTCACGCGAATTCGCACACATTCTTACATGTGTCGACCGCTTCACAAGATGGCCAGAAGTAATTCCCGTAACAAATTGTAAGCTGAGACCGTTATCCGGGCCTTCTTGGACCAGTGAGTTTCGGACTACGGATGCCCATCTTTCATTAAAACTGACCGAGGGACGCCTATCAAAGCTTCACAAATCGATACTTTTTGCAAATTTTCAGACTGTCGCCGCAGTCATACCACAGAGTATCACCCATCAGTCAACGGGTTAATTGAATGTTTCCTTAGACCGCTTATAGCCTCGCACTGCGCCTCCTCCCCCCTAGCTTGATCGAAAACGTTTCTCTCGTACCCATAAGCAGTTGCAGCAGCATAAAAGCTAACTTGAAATGTGCACCAGCAGAGCTGGTTTACGGCACACCGTTCAAGGTACCATGAGAATTCGTTTCACCTCCTTCACCGCTGGGTATGCCCGCATAACTGCTTTTTCCCTAGCTCAAAGCACGCGCTTATTACGTCTGACCGCCCCGTGAGCAGACTAGAAATGTTCAAATGCACAGCGGACTCTCCACCTGCACTTACCTCTTTCACCGCATCTATGCAGTGCGGAGTACTCATTAGCTTGCATACACTAGCCCTTTCAGTGTCCTACAACGGACTACGAAGCAGTTTATTTCAGACCAGAATGGTCTCCGAACAAAGATGTCTAACGACCGCCTCAAAGTGACTTTCTTTGATGAACCACTTACAACCCATTCTGCTGCTATCACAAAGCACCCGCACCTGCGGCGACTTCCCGAGAACTGGATAACCCGAAATCCTCCGTTCTCCTTGACCCTCAACCTACCCCATCTCATCACACAGACAACCGATCGAGTCGGTGGACAAGTCTAACGTCCGGTCCGTTTTTCGGCTTTTGTAAGCAATTGCTATGTCCGTTAACACGCCATTTTCGTCTTTATTGCTAATCGCGCGTCTTGTTTACAAACGTATTACAAAATCGAAAAAAACTCAAGACATTTTGATGACTTAAAAATCGTATTTGCTTTTATCATGCATACCATGTATCCTCCCCGGCGCCATGCCACTTTCCTTGACCCTTGCTCACCCCTTCTGAGTTTTACCTTACTGAATTGCAACCGCCGTAACTGCTGATGCAACCCACTTGTGACAAGCCAACCCGCACAACGCAACCCCAGGGTGACTCGCCAGCCGGTCCGAGGGACAGTCATTCGCCCTCGGCCGCAGACACCTACGAACGGGTTGGTCCTCCAACGCCTGGCTAGGTGTTGCCGACGTGGACGCCGCATTTCTACGTGAGATGAGGACCGTAGGCTGGAGTGCGGTAGGGGAGTGACATCTCTCAAGCACTCCGTCAAGTTTGCAGCGGATGGCAGGTCGTGTTGGTCATTTTTCTGGACTTGCCAGTTTTTGGTGCAGTCCGACCAGCTCGTTCTGACGGCCCATTAATGATGCACTCTGGTCCACACAGCATCCTAAATAATTAATGACAAAAGCCTGGACCCAACGAACTCTGCTACACAAAGCATCTTGAAAGCCCTTGTACAAGCCCATCCAAATATTTGCACCCATCCTCACTTCAAGGTTTCCTCACCAACAGCACCAACAAAGGCTCCTATCCTTAAAAATTTTAGAGAAGACCCTTGTAGTTTACTGGAAAACAAGCTCTTTCAGTATTTCGTAACAGTAGATTTTCCGGTTGCTTTAACCTTAAAAACGTCCTCTTGTATTACTGATGGCACATGCGTTAACACAAATCGTTTTGGTGAGTACCTTGCTTCACCGTTGCTTGCTCTGGTTGATCCGCTTCCTATTTTGGTAGCCTGCACAATATACGTTTGGAATAGTTGCCTCCAATTGCTATAATATTCCGTATTGGACACGGCTATAACGTGTCATTAATTACTGATTAGTATCTCAGGCTCCACGCAACATAAATATGCAAACACCAGTAAACAAAACGCAGGCAAACATAACAAATGCTAAGTTAAATTTTACACTAATAAGCCTTCGCAATGCCATGTTAACTGCATCATCTTTCCGAATACTGCAGATATTTCCTATGCATTACGGTGGATACATGAAACAAGGATTTAGCCGCACTTTAGACCTACAATAGTTTATCTTACCTAGATCACATGCGTAAAGCTGACTGGGCAGTATAACATAGCGTTTTAAAGTAGTCTGTGAAAAGCATTAAACCCAAAAAAACGGTTGAAAAAAGAAACAGTACTTACCTAAATACCTTATAGCGCGCATCGGAAATGCGGTCATTCTTTCCTACCGATAGCGTAGGTGTCTGTCTAAAGTTAATTCTTACTGTAGGGACTTTAGTCTTAAAGTAAAGGGAGATTAAAAATTTACATACATACTTTGCTTTCAATGGATTCATAGCCATAAGTTTTGCTTATTGCAGAAGAGGTGTGGCGTATCTGTTGACGGCCAAGCATTAGAGAATATGGTGTCCGAATATTTTTTAGCGACGTAAACCGACTTTGAGCTTCCTGATTTGGCGCTTTCTTGTAGTTAACAACAGAAGCTTGATAACCTGTCAAGTTTCTGCCGACAGCAGATTGAATGGCTGAAAAGCGTCGGAGATTCAATTTGTCCAATGAACTGAAATCCATCTGCCTCATCTCTGCCTCGATTATTTCTTCCAAATCAAAATTCCGAGAACTGTGGGTAAAAATATTTTAATCCTGTACCTTTTTAATGAATAAAGAATAGTTTGCAGTATATCCGTAGTCAATGACTGTGAGTCCACGATCTTGCTAAATAACTAAACAGAATAAAGTGACCGCAGGTTAAAACTCTACGTCGTTGCAATTATTCAACTTGATTTCGCATTCTTCTGTCCAACTAACTATAGCATTGACATAACTGCTTATTTCGTCAACTAGTTTTGCACCCTTTATAAAATATGACCATGACCTGACTTACTGTTAGTATCACTTGGACAATTTCCTTTGACAATTTTATCTGCACTCTCCCTACACTAGCATTTAAATTGGACAAAATCCAATGATTACCAGATGCGTAAATTTATCCATAATGTTCCGAATATCTGCAGTGATGTTACTTTAATCATGTTTGACACAAATGTCTTAAAGAACTACCTTAACTCCTGCTGTATATCTTCTATATTTTCACAGGAATTGTTGGGTATATCTTCCTTGCCACCGCCATTTTCGTCGTTCCACATCTTGCGTAAGGTAGACCAAAAACATTGGCTCTTTAAAATTAAGTATATTTTAATATACCTACATCTTCAGACAGACTCTGACTAGAGGACTCTTCAAGTTCATCACGTGAAAAAAGGCTGCTGCTGCTAGTAAGTTGAGAGCTTGCATTTCGCTCTTGGGAAAGGCTTCTAGAAAAGAAAGGGAAATTATCACTAAATGCAGGTATTCAAATAGGAATGCTGTCAACGCACTCGGCAATCTTTCGCGGGAACTCTAAACGCGGGATCTTAAAAGCCATTTCGAACTGGCAGCAATTTTCGAATATTTAAACACGCATCCGTGTACGATAAAAGCTGCTTGCATAGAATAGCTTGTTTATTTGCTTCTACTACTGTCATGCATAATGATAACATTTTTAACTATTTTCTTTCGTCTATTGCTATTCAACCAATGCGCACTGCGTCACAACTAGCGTTCAGATTCAGATGCAGATTCAGATGGACTGGAACGATAGGAAAATCCCTTGAGTGTTCCCTCTTGAGCAAATCGTTGGGCCAGGAAATGATAAGGTATTAGTTCTTGATAGATCTAAAACGAAACACCCGAAACACACCCTGATCAACCAACTACTGCCCACGTTCCCTGCACCAGCAGTCCGCGCTGTGTTAAGGTATTAGTTCTTGATAGATCTAAAACGAAACACCCGAAACACACCCTGATCAACCAACTACTGCCCACGTTCCCTGCACCAGCAGTCCGCGCTGTGTAGGTTACGTGAAGTAAGAAAGAAGTAGAAAGTAAATGGAAGATAAAGGGGAATGAAAGTCATTAAAATGAAGGATAACACCAAAGAGTGAAGATAATGACAGAATAAGAACTGAAAGTTTGAAGATGGATATGGTCAGGAGAAGGGAAAGGTTTCGTGTTGCCACCCAAGAGCGTCTAACTGACGCTCGAAACCCTTAACCGTAGGTTCACTGACTACCTTTTCTGGAAGCGAGTTCCAGCGCTCGATAACTCTACGCGATAACCGAGTTTCCGCCCTGATCCCGTCAGAACGCGGCTTGTGTAGCTTCATGGGATGACCGCGAAGACAAGGCAACCTAGCCGGGCTAAATAGCCAGCGCAAGTCCGGCCCAACCTTCCCTGTTAAAATGCGGTAAGTAAGGATTAGGTCTCCTCGAAGCTGTCGGTAGTGCATTGAATACATACCCAAGCTAAGTAGACGCTCGGGGTACGATTGCCCCCGTAACCCGTCGACCAATTTGGTACCTACTCTCAAAACCCTCTCAAGCTCCATTTTGTCCCGAACAAGGCAGGGCGCGCAAGCCTGGACGCAGTATTCCAGATGGGGCCGAACGAAAGCTGAGAATAGCTTCACAAATATGTCGGCAGTTAAGACCCCGAAAGAACGGCGTATTAACCATAACATTCTGAAACCCCTACTAGCGGCCTTCTTCCAGTTGTCACCAGAATGCAAAGACGAGGAATGAACGACACCTAGATCTATCTGGTTGGAGACAAGGGGGAGTTCGACCCCACCGAGTACGTAGCTCGAAGGCGGGAAAGTTGCTCCTATACGAAGGACGGAACACTAGCCTGATTTATGGGCAGTAGCCACAAAGTAGACCAGTCCCAGAGTCTGTCCAGTGCACGCTGTATGGCCTCAGAACCCCAGGAACATTTACAACATTCCATAGCTTAAGGTCATCAGCAAACAATAAGGATGATACCCCAAGCTCTCCAGGGAGATCGTTTACGTAGATGGAGAACAGCATCGGTCCAAGGACCGAGCCCTGTGGGACACCGCTAAGGACCGCTTGCTTAAAGGATAAGCTGCGACCCACACGTACACACTGCTCTCTTCCCTGCAAAAACGCAGATACCCAGTGAAGGGCGCGGCCAGATACGCCGTAGGACCTCAGCTTATGTGATAGCCTCAAGTGGGGTACCTTATCAAATGCTTTCGAGAAGTCTACGAAAAGCACATCCACCACGTGGCCATTGTCCACTGCCTCGGCCCAAGCTTCACGAGCAACCAACAAATTCGTCAAACACGAAAATCCCTTCCGGAATCCATGTTGTGCACTACTGAGCAGATTAAGTCTATTCAGGTGACATTCCAACGAATCTCTCACCAGCTTTTCAAGCAGTTTGACCACGACGCTAGTCAGACTAATTGGCCTATAATTGGCTGACAGACTCCTGTCGCCATTTTTGAAGATAGGACAGATGACAGCCTCCTTCTATTCGGAAGGTAATGTACAGGTGTCAAGTGATTTCTGAAACACCATCGTCAGCGGTCCACTTAGTTCCCCGCCAACTCATGCAGAAGCTGCGGGTGAATTGAATCAGGTCCAGCTGCTTTGGAAGGGTTCAGTTCTTGCATCAGTTTAAGGACTTGCGTTTCCACCACAGTAAACTCAGCTAAATATGAATCATCAGGTACTCTGGGGACAAATTCAACGCTAGTCAACGCGGCCTCACGTACAAAAGCCCCTGCATACTGTTCCCCAAGTACACGAGCCTTATCTGAGTCCGCATACGCACGAGTTCCATCGGCCCTCATCAAAGTTGGGATTACCGAAGTTGAACCATAGCGTCTCTTAACATAAGCGAAGAACTTCTTCGGATTTTCCGAAGCTCCGTCAGCCAATTCCTTTTCGTACACCAGCCGAGCTTTCCTTAAGTGTTGTTTACACCTATTTCTAGCCTCGCGGTATCTATCATAGGTACTAGTTGATGGAGCCGCACGGTAGGTCCTCCAGCACCTAGAACGCTTTTGGAGCAGGTGCTTGCCAGTGGTATCTATCCACGGCGGCCGCGCTCGTGTCTCCTTTCTCCTCGCAAGCGGGATGTAGGGAGTAGACACTTCCGTGAGATAAGATTTAAATTTATCCCAGGCCGCCTGAACCGTATCAACCACCGAGATTTCGCAACGCATCCCAGCAGCCTTGGTACGCATTGCCTGATAGTTAGCACGCCATATGTTTGGAAATGGCTTAGCAATGCTCTGGTGACGCCTGGTCAGACCTCACCTGAACGATAAACAAACATGATCACTAGCACCTAATGGAGAGCCGTAAGTGATGTCCCCTACGAATCTAGTGACTTGGCAAACACTAGATCCAAAATAGACGGGAGTTGGGCGTCCATGTACCTAGTGGGGAGGTCCACGAACTGATACAATGGTACTTGTAGCGTAAGCTCAAGTAGATCTGCCCCGAAAGTACCTTCTGCCGAGTTGCAAGAAAGATCCGCCCAGCAAATTTCTGGTAGGTTGAAATCCCCCAGTATCAAACACCTGTTTGCGGATTGGGAGCGAATAAAGTCAAGCACCTCTTTGGACGCGCTTCCAGGGCTTCTACACACAAGTACGACTGTAAGTTGAGCTGAGGAAGTGTTAATCACTACCGACAGCGCTTCGATAGTTTTATCTGCCGTCTGAAACATGTAGGTGCGTGAAACGTCAAGTTCACACCTAACGTAAAGCGCAGCGCCCCCGCCTTGTCGGCCATCGAAGCGATCACATCTAAATAGTGCGTAGCCAGGCAGATGTACTTCACCGTCCGTGATGTCTTGAGACAGCCACGTTTCAGTGAATGCAAGGATATCGGGATGAGACCCATCTACAAGCAGACCTATCTCGCACATCTTATTCCTTAGACTCCGCACATTGCTTAGCACTATTTGAAGGTACTCGTAATGTCCAGCCCTGGGTCGTGCGCTACCAGTACTGGCACTGGTAGGGCGGAAACAGACCGCTAGTTTCACAATCTTTGCCACCTATACTGCATTCGCAATCTAATTTAATTGGTCTGCTCGTCACATACGGAACCATGGTAGTTTGGAATTAATTTTACAATGTGTGGTGTATATTGTGTCGAAGTATTTACCAGGTAGTCACACTCGGATAGTTTTCGTTTGACGTCGTATTCGGTGCATCATTCTGTTTTTCTACGTTGGTTCTTTGGGCACTTCTTTACCCTGCATTAATTACGACTGTCCAGTTTAAATGATGCATTCATTAAATATCGATTAAAGTTATTCATCCAACTTAACTCCTGAGTTGAGTAAAATGCCCTAGAGACTATTGTAGCAGTCTGGAGATTCCCTGGTTTGCCCGTGTAAAATACTAACTAAAATTCTTTAATTGTACACCTAGGCGACCGGTGTGGTTTGTTGAACTGATTGCTGAGTTCGAATGCTTGACTTGCTCATCGCCATTTTTGCTTGGCGCTCGTTTCGGTTGCAACCCGCAACTGCCTTGTGTGCTGTGCTTGCTCCCTCCCCTAGCTAGAGCGTCCACGGTGTCGTTCTTTCATAGCTAGATAACAGGGAATCTTTTACTGTACCAATAAATTTACCCTGCAACTCGATCTGTCTTCTCGAATCGCTCTCTGAGCTCCCGGTACAGACGACCCTCTAAACCATCAGCCTAATAAAAGTAGTGTGACTATGATGGCATGTCTGAGTGTTTAGCTAGCAGTAGAGCCATTGGTACGGCGCACGATGTACCGTGATATCCTGTTGGCAAACTATCCCGATTTAGTCGCCTTGATTCACGGCATTTGGGTACCTTGTTTGAGAGGCCAGCGCCTGCCCGTTTGGTGATCTAATAACGCTGTGTAACTCCTTCAGTTGCATGTAACCAGAGTGGTCGGCTTGAGCCAAAACAGACTTGGATTAAGCGTTTTCGACAGCATCGATCCAGAGAAGACTTGGTCTGGTACAATATGAGGTCTTAGTGAGCGCTTTTATCTTTACTTGCCATGCTACTTACTTGCCAAAAGCAGCCGAGAAGCAGTCCCCACGCATGTAGCCCGGAGCAGTTTGTCCCTGAGTCATCCTGAAGCTTATAGGTCAGCCACTGAGTACGAAATGATGAAAATGCTTTGAAGCTTGCCAATGAAGATGGTCTCTCGTGAAGCCCGGCAGTGAGCGCATTAGTTTGGCAACAAGTGAATCGTCTGGCATCTACTTGTTGCTAAAACTTAGTAAATGCCACTTATGTCAATTTGCCATGAAACGCTGAGTATGCTGGTCGCACATTTCCAGTGCTCTGATTTTTATTGGTTGGTTCCATCAACAAATTGGCGCCGCCAGTTGCGCTTGGACTCCTTCGACTCAGGTTTGCTAAGACTACCAAACGAACCCTGATTCAAAGCTTTATTCTTAAACCACGGTTTACCACTTCACCGCATTTCTGGCGGAAGCCCTGCCGTATCACTGATGCGAAATCACCGGTTTCTTAATGTACCAACCTGGACCTTTACCCTCGTTTGCGAGCGCGCTTTA